CCAAGGGGAACCTTGCATCCTTGCCTCCTCGGGCCATCCTTGACCGCTTTCACTGGCCGCGCCCCGCTCGCAAAGTGTCGACATGGGCGTCCAAGACCCTTGCGTCCTTATCGCACATCCTTACTATACGAAACGGGGGACTGCATACTACCCATTGTGGGATCACGCTCTGCGGCGTGACAGCGAGGCACTAGTGACCTGTCAGCTCTCGAGTGTAGTATACGTACTTATCACGAGCAGATGAATATTTCACGAAGTGGTATGCTGCCTAATCAAAAAAGTAAGCCTGACTATACGGGTCGACTGTATACGGGAAGGGGGTTGGGGCGCGGCGCCGCTCGGACGCGTGCGCTCTGCTCGGCGGGGCCAGCGCCAGACAGCCTGGACCATCTCTTGAGCGTCTTCTCGTGAAGCAGGAAGCACAGCACGGAGCAGTGCACGGGAAGCGGACGCCCGAGCGGTGGCACGCGGGGAGGGAGTGGATGGGAGCAGGCAGGACGGCCAGAGATGAAGGCTGGACCTAGACGGTGCGTTTGGTGATTTCGTGGGCCGTTTTCGTTTCGGCTTCGTTTCGCGACACGGGCGGATCCGAGACAAACGCGAGCGAAAACGAAAGCAAAGCGAAGACGATAAACACCGTTTAGGTTCAGCCCTGCCAGAGATGGCGTGGGATCAGCTGGGGGGAAGAGGCGGGATGGGATGACCAGGGGCGCTGAAACTGGCTGCTGGGCCCCGCAGGGCCTTCGTAATCTTGGGACTCTTCGTCACCCTCGCGAGAGAGTGCGCCCTTTTACAAGGATCTCGCCCTGCGGTTTTTTGTTCCGCCTCCCGCTCTTTCTGCTGTTCATCCGCCTCCGGGGGGAATGCCTAAGGCATATGTACCGTCACCGTGGGGAGGGACACCCATGCAGCGGAGAGCAGTGCTGAACATTCCACGCGCCCAGCGTGATGGGAGAATGTTCGACGGTGTCCCGCCCAGTCTCCTCTGCCTGCGCGAGCTGCGCATGCCCGGGGCTGACCAGTTCTGGCGCGCCGTCAAGGCGTGCATACACCTCGCGGCTTTCGCATGCAGCTTCACTGCTCCTGCCCCTAGGCCCATACTTGCCCCCCCGTCGGGGCATCCTAGCGTCACATCTCGCCCCCTCCCCCTCCTGCTCCTCCTCCTCCTCTCCCCTCCCCTCCTTACCTCCCTTGCCTTCCCCTCCTCTCTCGCCGGTCGCGGGGATGGCGCCCCCACCGGCCCTCTGGGCGCAGTCCCGAGCGAAAGTCGGCTACGTGCCCAGGGGGCTAAGTGGGCTGGGGAAGGCTTCTTAGAAGCACCCCATACTTGTTAGAAGGCGCGGGCCTCGTCCATAGACGTAAGTAAGACCCGCGCCTTCTAAGAAACGGGCTCCTTCTAGGAAGCCTTCCCCTTCTCCCCCCTACCCCCTTGTGCGCGCCGCCAACAGGGTCCTGCACCCTGCTGCCTGGCACCACGACCCCTCGACGCCAACGTTTTCGGGCGTCTCGCTCCTCTCTGTCGGCCCGCCACGCGGCTGGCCCCGCCGGCACTCTGATCTTCCCACGGGTTCGGGGGCAATGGTAGAGAGGATGGGCATAGGAGGGGCGGCCGACTGATCGCCAGTAGCCTGGAGGAGGAGGAGGAGGAGGAGGAGGAGGAGGAGGAGGAGGAGGAGGAGGAGGAGGAGGAGGAGAGGAGGAGGAGGAGGGGAGGAGGAGGAGGAGGAGGAGGGAGGGGGAGGAGGAGGAGGAGGAGGAGGAGGAGGAGGAGGAGGAGGAGGAGGGAGGAGGAGGAGGAGGAGGAGGAGGAGGAGGAGGAGGAGGAGGAGGAGGAGGAGGAGGAGGAGGAGGAGGAGGAGGAGGGAGGAGGAGGAGGAGGAGGAGGAGGAGGAGGAGGAGGGGGTAGCCTGGCATCGACCCACTCGCTCACTGATCGCCGACAGGGGCCCAATAGGTCCGCCCGGGGAGGTGCGGAGTCGCTCTCGGGGGCCAAAAGGCCGACATATATTGGCGATCCCAGGTCGAGGTTGCCCCCCTTTGCACGTCCCCCCTCCTCCTCTCCTCTCCTCCTCCTCCTCCTCCCCTCCTTCCTCCTCCTCCCCCTATCGTTGCCCCTCACAGGAGAGTGGTCCCCCCTATCTCGGGCTGGGCGAAAGGGGGGGATTGGGAAAGGGGGGGTTACGAGATTTCCTGCATGCAGCTGGTTTCGGCCTCACCGAGGGGCCCGTTCCTCGATACATAGCCGCCTCTGGCGCTGGGAGGCGCCGGGAAAATCAGCTACGTGAGCTGATTCTCAACCCCCCCTTTGCTGTCCCCCCCTTTCGCCCGACCCGACTATCGTTGCCCCTCACCGGAGAGTGGTCGCCTCCTCCGAGGCTCATGTGGTGCTGCCGTGGAGGCCCTCAACAAAACAGGGAACACATCTCCACGGGCGACCTGTGCGCACCGCACCGCGCTGGCGTCTCCCGAGGCGTTTGTCGATCCTTGACCCAGGGATGGTATGGTGCATAGTTTTTGAGCCCTTTGAGCCAAAATAACTAAGCACAGTATCGCGTTGGAGCCGGCTCGTAAGGTCCCTCGTCCCCCTCTGGTCGGGGGCCCAGCACAAGCTGTCGGCGCGTCTGTCCTGGAGCGATTTTGTGGAGCGTCTTCAGGTCCAGGCTTGGCCTACGCCACCCTTGAGGAGGAGGAGGAGGAGGAGGAGGAGGAGGAGGAGGAGGAGGAGAGGAGGAGGAGGAGGAGGGAGGAGGGAGGGAGGGAGGGAGGGAGGGAGGGAGGGAGGGAGGGAGGGAGGGAGGAGGGAGGGAGGGAGGGAGGGGGGAGGGAGGGCGGGAGGGAGGAGGAGGAGGAGGAGGAGGAGGAGGAGGAGGAGGAGGAGGAGGAGGAGGAGGAGGAGGGGGAGGAGGAGGAGGAGGAAGAGGAGGAGGAGGAGAGGGAGGAGGAGGAGGAAGAGCAGGAGGGGGAGGAGAAGGAGAAGGACGAGGAGGACGGCCTTAATCACACGCAGGGGCGGCTGGCCAAGGGAAATGAGGGGATGGGAGAGACGGGGGATCGGTCTTTGCGTCGTCGAGGTCGTGGTCGGGCTGGGCGGACTTGCCGGTGGTCCGCTTGCCGGGGTGGTCATGGTCGTGGTCGTGGTCGTAGTCGTCGTGGTCGTGGCCTTGGTCGTGATCGTGGTCGTCGTGGTGGTCGCGGTGGCGGTGGTAGGTGCAGTGGTGGCGGTTGTGGCGGTAGCAGTGGTACCAGTCGTGATGACGCGGCAAGCGGGTCTTTACTGCCCTGGCCTAGCCGTTCGCCTTGCGCGGACCCTTTACCGTCTTCCCTCTTTCCCACCCTCCGTCCGTCAACCCTCCAGAATTACACATTCCTTTTCTCCAGGACGATTTAGTTCAGGAGGATCTCTGTTCGTTTTTTTTGCCCAGTGCTTCACCCGAAGTTGGCGGTGTAGGTCAGGCTGCGGGGAGCTTGCGGACGTTTCTGGCGCGCCAGAGGAGAGATGACGTATGAGGTATGAGGAGCGGGGAATGGGAGGAGGCGGAACGAGGGAGTATGGACAGGATTGATCAAGAGGATAACGAGAGGGAGGAGGAAGGCGAGGGGATGGTGTGGTGAGGAATGGCAGAGGGGAGCGAGAGAGAGAGAGAGAGAGAGACGCCGTGCACATCATGGGTGCATTTTGGCGAAAGTGAGACGGCACTGCGGAGAAGCATGAGCTGGAACATCATACGATAGTATCGAGGGGGAGGGGAAGGAAGGAGGGGGGGGGCCCGGAAGGGAGGGCCAGGGGGAGATTGGGGAGGCGAGGCGGAGGAGACGGCTGCCAGGCCGAGCGAGAGAGCGCGGCACGGGAGCTCCCCAGGCGCCAGCTGCAGCTCCTCGCAGCCGAGCAGCGGCGGAGCTGGCCGAGGAGGGCGGCCTCTCTCTGCCGGTGCTCGTCGCGGGGGCACGGGGGGCGGCGGAGGCGGATGCCGCGGGGGAGGGGAGGGGGAGGAGGAGGAGGGAGGAGGGAGGTGGAGGAGGAGGAGAGGAGGAGGAGGAGGAGGAGGAGGAGGAGGAGGAGGAGGAGGGGAGGGGAGGGGTGGAGGAGGAGGAGGAGGAGGAGGAGGAGGAGGAGGAGGAGGAGGAGGAGGAGGAGGAGGAGGAGGAGGGGGGTGGAGCGGCACGGGGAGTGGGGAGGGCCTCCTCCGCCTCTCCCGGGGGCAGACTTCGCTCCTGCGGGCCTCGCTCCTGCTACAGTCAAGAACCCTAACAAGGACGCGCGACTCAGGGTACCCTTGCGTCCTTGCTCTTCCTTGCTCTTGCGTCCTTGGGGTTTTCTCCGTCCGCCGCCCCAAAAATTCCAACTTCGGCTTCCAAGGGTCTTGCGTCCTTACCGCGCGTCCTTATTAGGGTTTTTGACTGTACCACCCCTTCATGATCATATCTGGCCAGCGCGGCCGTGCTTCACGCTGGGGGGCACAGGGGAGGATGGCGTTTCTTCTCCTCCCTCCCCTTCTTGTGGGGGATGCAGGGGGCCGACGGCCCCAGCGCAGCACGCAGGGGGGGGAGATGGGGGCAGCAGGGAATGGGAGGGCGCGGGCTGGAGGAGGGCAGGTTCAGCGAGATGGATCAGTTGGGATCACGACGGGCCCATGGAGGCGTCGGGGGCGCACGGCATCGAGATGGGCACCGCGGGCGGTCGTTCGAGGACCGCCCCCGGCAGCCGCAGGCACCCGACCCCTGCGATCCCAGCGATGGCCCTGCTCCCCTCAGGAGGGGAAAAAACACAGACACAATGGATCGTCGATTCCCCAGAAAATATGGGACAAATATGGGAAGTGGGGGGGAAGGCAAAAACCCAGAAAATATGGAAACGTATGGGGATTGTTTTTATTTGTGTGTATGTATTTGTGTGTCCTGGGGCCCCTTCACTGCTCCCCTCAGCGGAGAAACCTGTGAGCCGTCGAAACGGGGCCCTGCCCCAGTCTTCGAGAAGACGGCGAGTTATACATTTGGTCAAG